CGAAATTGGATCGGGTGAGTATGTTCAGATTGGGTTGTCACCCGATGTGATTTGTTACGAGCGAAATTGGATCGGGTGAGTATGTTGAGATTGGGTTGTCATCCGATGTGATTTATTTCGAGTGAAATTGGATCGGGTGAGTATGTTGAGATTGGGATGTCATCCGATGTGATTTGTTACGAGCGATTCGATTATCATCCGATGTAATTTATAACGAGCGAAATTGGATCGGGTGAGTATGTTGAGATTGGGTTGTCACCCGATGTGGTTTGTCCGTGAGGAACGACGCTAACGTATATACACTGCACTCGCCCGCACTAACGAGGTTGATCTATTCGCATTCATATGTGCACGTGTATGTGCATGGGTCGATCTGGCATGCCTTTGTACGTTCATAGGCATACGTGCATGTAGGTGAGCTTGCTTTGCAGCTACACTATCACCTAAGGAATATACTAATATACATAAACAACCCTGATTTCACACGCCAAAACCTAAGAAATGTACTTAATTAGACCTTGATTCTACACCCCAAAACTTAAGCATAGATATACAGGATTCAACACCCCAAAACCTAAGCATAAATATACATGATTCTACCTACCCCGCGAATAACTTAACTTTGCGACTCATAGCACAAAGTCTCCATTTGTACGTGTCACAGGTGGAGATAGAGCGACTCGTCTGGGACACTGAGCGTGCCAGCCTACTGCAGGTGTGGCAGCTGTGCGACAGTTGACACCATGTGTCAGCATCTATGTGACACGTGTCGTGTCAAGTGTCAAGTTCAACCACCGCGTGTGCTGGGATATGCACATACTGAGATGGGTCATACCGCGATGTTTGATTGAATAGGCTATGGTGTTTTAGCACAGCTTTAGAGCCTTAGACAGCTTGCGAGTGACGAGTTAGTGTGTGATTGCAGCGCTGAGACCTGCAGGGAGATCAGTGCGCATGCGTCTCCACATATATGCCAGTCTGTATGTTCTGTTCCACCTGTGCTTGTTTGGGTTTAGGGTTTAGGACGTATGCTATAACTGAAGAGATGCCTCCGAAACGGCCATTGACACAATCAAATTATTCGTCGGCTTCTGATTGGACGTTATTTTTAGCTTCTGGCGGGCAGTGCGAGAGCCGATGAGAATCAAGACTCTGGCGTGGTCACCCCAGAGCGAGTACAATATGAACATGGAATGCCAACGACACCTATGTCTGCCGCAACCTCGGTATGAGTAAACGACATGCGTACATACATTCATACATACACACACATATATATATATATATATATATATATATTAATATGTATTAATATACATTATAAATATATATATATATGTGTGGGGTAGGGGGGGGGTTATCCGGCTTCTCCAGTGCGTTGATATACCACTACTGACGATGACAGTCTGATAACCGAGGCATCAGTATAGCCTACATACAACGTTCAGTTGACAACGTTCAGTTGACAACGACATACGTGTTGTGCAGATGGCTGGTTTCTCGCTCGCGTCCACAGGTATACGGTTGGACGCCCATGGCCACGTTATAATATTCACTTCAAAACGTTTTAATTCATTGTATTGTAAGAATAATCCGCCAATTTGTATTTCTTTTGTTGTAGAGAATGTCCACTACTGCGCTGATAACTACGTCACCCCGGAAGACCGCACACGATGAGGTGAGTTTTAGAATGATATGCTGCTTGTGTCAGAATAAAATCTTCTATGTGATATATATATACAAATATATATATACAAATA